CTTGACAAAATGAATGTGGGTCAGGAATACCTTAACGGTGCTGTGTCAGAACCTGCTGTCAGTTGTTGCTCTGTTCCTTTCTTTACAATCCAGCCAGACGCCGTTACTTCCCTGCCCCTATCTACAGACTTTGAGCTGTCCATGCCCTGATAGGAAGAATTGTGGAACTCTTGACGGGGCCTGACACTTGCCTCTAGCAAGGTCAACTTCTAGCCTCCTGTTGCTTGTTTCATTGTAGTGGGTGCCTTTCTTGCCCACTAACCTGCCTGGCTTTTCGACCCATTGCCTCACCTTGACTGTAGGAAATGCATCTTCCTGAATCCCTACATTGTGTGCATTTGGTCTGCTGAACCACAACTCAATTCTGATCATTGGTCACAATGTGTCTTCCCTCTGCCAACGTATACCTCCAACATCCCTTTGGACCCATGGATGGTTTGCTTCTGCCCTTTGGTTCTGAATCCACAGATGCCTATCAGCCCATTCGGTTTTAGATCCCTAATTGGTTGAGGCCTCTGTTTTTTTGAGTGTCTTGTGATCTCCTCTGGGCTGTGACCTCACAGTCTTGCCTCAGTTCTCCCGGTCCCACTGTCTTTCCTCTTCTCTGTGTCCTACTGCTGTGGAGATGCATACAAATACTCATGTTCCTATTTGCCATTCACCAAGCACTTTTTGTACTTACAATGACCTTAAGAAATAGGGACTCTGATTTGCTTTGTAGATTTTTGTAAACTGAAGTACAAATAGGTTTGCTGTTTTACCTAAAGCTGCAGACTCTGGATTTGAACTCAAATCTGTTCTGCTTCAGCTTGAGTTCTCTCCACTCAGTCACTGACTTCATGATCCAACATGTTACTGCTCAGAATAGTAATTTATCCGTGGTATTCATTTCTCCAGCAAACACTGAAAAAGTAGCTAAACATTATACATAAACTTTTATAAATATACATCATATTAAATGTTTAATTGATAAATTTTGTCAGTTCTACAATTCCCATTTTACAAAAAAATGCATTGAGAAGTTGAGTTTCGGGGTGTTGACAAGTCAGCAAGAGAGCAGAAGGTTCTTAGAACTGCAGTAGAGTAGATCATTGAAAATAGCACTCGACCGAGAGGCAGAAGAGCTAGGTGAGTTCAGGTCTGGCCCAGAATCTTGATCTTTGGTAAATTACTTGACTTGGCTCTTCCTTCATCTTGAAAATTGCTCGCTAAGTTTAGCTCTGCGTTTTCTGGTAGCCAAAGTATACTCGTGGTTACTTGTTTCAGATCGGTAGTCACTGGCCAAGATACTTGAATTTACTTCATCTTAGTTCTTGGGTCACAAAGGTTTCATTTCTAAATAATCCACCTCATATATTGGGTTTTGGGGGTACTATTATGATTCTAAATTACTGTGGCTTCTCTGAGTGGGGATCACCTGGACCATTTTCATGTCAAGAAAAGACCCAAACTTCTTCATCACGTGTTGGAGCCTGGGCCACCATGATGAGCCAAAACCACTTTCCCGACCTCTGAGCCTCTCATGTCTCATTGGCTAAGACGCCAATGATTTGAAAGAAAAACCAGAGGAAGTGGAGCAGAGCCAAGCTGAGACGTGGATCCTGGCCCTCTGCTGAACTGAGAGTAGTGGTGTGGGGGGACACTGGGCTTTGAGTCTTGAATACTCTAGTTCTTTGTTATCCAACATGTGGTCTTGGCACACAGCGGCATCACTTGGGAGCTTGTTAAAAATGCAGAATTTCAGGTCCCACTCAACATCTGCTGAATCATTTTTACAAGATTCCCAGGTGACTTGTGCGCACATTGAGGTTAAAGAAGCCCGACTGGTTTATTACTCTATAGAAACATTTAAATTTAGCTTCAAGGGGCAAGGAAGGTTTCACAGAGCCCCCTTGGAGGGGTGTAGAAAAGTTGCTGCTGTTGCCGTCATGGACTTGACTAAGACAGGAAGGAATCTGGACTGAATTGCAGTAGATAAAGCTACTTAGCTAAAAGCCAGGCCTTCAAGAGGGCAAAGGGGAGTGATGTGGGCTTTTGAGGTGAGGCCATTAACAGTTGGATTATAACGCAATGTTCCGTAATGGTGTAGTAATGAAATGTAATTGATATAGTGGTGTTATAAAAAGGGACACTTTCTTTGTTCCAGGCTGTCTTTCTTCAGAGAAAGCAGATGGTCATAAGGTAAGGTAATGAGACAAAAGGAATTCGTTCTGTAAACATTTTAGTTTCTCCTTTGGCCAGCTCTTTGCCCAGCTTCAGGTGAGAACTTCCTGGTGCTTGCAACTACCAGGTGAGCAGTCTCCAGCCATAACCCTCACACATTTTTTATCTTCCTCTTTTTGCTGGAGGAAGATTAGCCCTGAGCTAATACCTGTGCCAATCTTTCCTCTATTCTGTATGTGGGTTGCTGCTACAGCCTGGTTTGAAGAATGGTGTAGGTCTGAGACCGGGATCTGAACCCGGGATCTGAACCAGCCATGTGGGGCCCCTGAAGCAGAATGTGCCGAATTTAACCACTATACCACTGGGCCAGCCTCACAACCCTCATACTTTTAAACCAGCTGGACACTCCAGCCTGGGGATGACATTCCTAGTGTCAGAGCTGCCCCTACTTGGGCAATCTCTTGAATGAGACCTACACAATATGGCTCTAGCATGAAGATGCTCCTCAAACGCTGGCTTTGGGGTGTTGGGCTCAGTGCCCTCACAGCCTCCTCGCTGATCACCTGCTTGCTATTTCTTGATTTATTTTTCTTGATTGTTCCACTTTCTTGAGAGCTCAAAACTTTTTCTTTTTTTAATCAGCTCTTCCCCAGTTTCTTTTCCACTAGTACTTTCCACCTGCCCCCGGAAAAGTATACTAAAAATTTGAAATGGCACTTATCCTAGAAAAATGATTACTTATTTTTGATTTATGCCATGCCTATTTTGAAACAAAAAGAAAAATCCTCAAGGCTCCTACAGTATGACACATGTAGCAAAGGTGAAGCTAAAAAATGAAAACTCACCTAAAATGAAGGTGATGGGAGAACGAGATAACTGTTCTAGAAGCTAAGGTTGATCAAAGTTGCAACTGAATTGCACAGTAAATTCACCACTGGATTGCTGGCAGCCGAAGAGGTGCATATAGTTACTTATCCCTGGTCGGCGGACACTAGACAAGCTTCTCAAAGATATTTTTTCTTGATACTGAGGTTGCAGGAATAAATAATCTTTTTGAGTGCTTCGAGTCTACTAGGCACTCGCTAAACCCTCAGCATGCATTGTCCTACCTTATCCTCACACCAACATTAAGAGATAGGACAGAGTAATAGTCCTGTGGGTGAACTCCAGAGGCAGAGAATCCAGGTTTGGAACTCATTTCTGCTACTCTCAAACTGTGTGACCTTGGGCAAGTCCATTACCCTCTCTTTGTTTCAGTTTTATCATCTATAAAACTGGAATATCAATCACATCTTATAAGGTAATTGGGAGCATTAAATGATTTAAAATACACAAGGCACACAGTGTCTGGGCCTTAGTAAGTACTTGCCATTATTGCTATTATTTCCACTTGACAGATAAGGAAATTGGGTCTTAGAGAGTTTAAGTGGCTGGCCCAAAGTCCGATGGTTAGATCATTTTGGCACCGGCTCTAATTTGATCCCTCTTAACCACTTTGCAGGCTGACTCAGAAACTTCAGCCTGCTGCCCACAGTGCACTTGGGTGCCAGTAGGGAGCTCCTCAGCATTAGCCTTGAGCAGTCAATGTTTAACTATGTTTGAGGAGAATTTCTCATCTATAGATTATTTTGGGGGGAACTTCTCCCAGCTGTTCAGCTTGGTGAGTTCTCTGGGACGGTATCTACTTTCAATGTGACTTTTAGTAAAGTTTAAACAATTAGGAAGTTGTATTGCAAATCAGTGTCTATTTGTTTATCTATAAATTCTATTTATTTATATATATTCCTAGCCACCAATTCTTCCCCAGTACAGTTGAACATAGCAGAAATGTAGGTCAGCGTCTACCCACTGCTACTGTATTTAAAGTTCACTTCAATACCACATGCCCCAGGGAGCTGCTTGCCTTGTTATCTCCTATGATCTCAGAGAGTACACAGGTCTGAGGCCTGAATACTTGATGTTTGAGATCGAATGCAGGTGTAATTCCTCTACTGCCCACCAGGTGTCCCACCCAGCCCTGCTATCTGACATGCAGTGGGGGAAAATGGCCTTCTCCCCTCCGAAGGGGAAAGAGGAATTGAAGTGGCAGGGGTGGTGGAGAGATTGTGAAAAGGAGGGAGGGAGACTGTGACAAGACTTCCGGCTGCTGCTTCTTGCCTCTAGACAAAGGGAATATTTCACATTGTTTTTCTTTGATGCATAGGTGTTTCTCTCCAGAAAGCCTCCTCAGTTCCCCGCAATTTAAGAAGCTTTTATTCCCACTAATGAAGTGGTGTGTGGCCAGGCCTTTTCATCTCCAAGCTTGAGGCTGGGGCTGCTCTATGCGTCCCCTTCCTTTTGCTGAAAGCCCCCCACAGCCTCCCATTCCTCTGTGGGCTCTCCTTCTTCTTCCAGATCTGACTAAGAAAGAGTAAGGAAGGTACTAACCCAGCTGGCCCTTCTGATTCCTCAATACTTCATTAATCAGGGGAGGTCAAAGGCAAGAACCAGTGTGTGACAGTGGCACTAACCAGTCCTCCTGCAAACAGCAACCTAACGCGTCCACGATATTAATATGACCATGACAGAAATACTTCCTCCTCACTCTCAAATAAGACTGTCATTTACTTCTCCTGGCAGGAGGAGTAAGGGAATTTGGATCCACTGATTTTTAATAACCGGGGACATTTTAAATCCCAGAATAAATCTCTTATCCTTTGCAGGTGGTTGGCTCCCCACCTGTCATCAGCCCTCCCTCCCTTCTTCCTTTCTTTTGGAGGACCACACACAACTGGGGATGCTGGGGTCAGGGTCAGGATGAGAGGGAGCTCAGAAGCCATGTGGTTTTTTTCTCTCAGACGCTGTCGTCTGCACTGGGGCTCTCTGCGGTGCCTCGTCCGTCATCATGGGTCATCCCAACGCGCCCTCGACATTCACCACAGACCTGAGGCATCTGAACGGATGCTGTGCTCTGAGGAGTCTGGCAAACGGGCGCCCTGCTTCTAGGTTATTCTGTGATTGAAGCTTCACCCAGAGATCTGCCAAGAATGTGGACAGGATGTCTTCATCTAGCCCCAGCTTTAGGAGCTTCCATGTGGGATATTTCCCCATGAAGGACCTTGATAACAAAGACGAGAATACAGTCCTGTGGGAGTGTCTAGCTTCTGTTCCCACTGCCTCATTATATGCATGGCTTTTAATATTCGGAGAGCCTTTTGCCAATACACATTTTCTCATGAACTGGGAAACTGGAGCCTGAATGTGATGTATTATTGATAGGATTATAATTTACTCCTCTCGGGTTGTATCTACAGTGTATACCATTAGCACAAAATATTAAATTACCAATGGTTGTATATATTTGTCTATTCAGGTTTGGCTCAATGATATTTGCCTTTCGCCTCAATAAAAGATCATGAATAAAGAAAGCAGGGCAATATGATTTTTGTTGTTGTTGTTGCAAGGGAATTTTGATTAAATTATTTTCTCTGTGCTGTGTTTTGGAGAGCCACGCTTTGCAATGAAGATATGAGAATATGAGACATAAAATAGTGGGGGTTGGACGAGGAAGATGGATGGGGCAGTTCACTCCAGCTCGCAGACACGCTGGCTTCCCTGGCAAACTGTTCTGGGCCAGGCTCAGGATTTTCTCCTTCTGCAGCGGAGAATGAACAATCTGTGCTGCCCTGGTGGGAGGAAGTGGGCAGTTCAGACCTCGGTGCCAGAAATACAGAGCCCTGTGTCTCTTCTGTGAAGACAGTGTTGGAGTGGATTTGGTGTGTGGGGACCCAACAGCATGGGGTAGAGCCCTTTGTAGTCACGGCATTATGCCCTGGCTGGTGTTTGACAGTCAGCCCTCTGGTCATTGTCTCGGTTCCGGTCTCCACCTGAGACGGGTGACACACACATGCACGCACACGTACGCACAGACACACACACAGACACACATACTTCTTCCTTTAAAGATTCCAGGTCATAGGGCTCAAACCAAGCTGCAAATGGAAATGCCACATCACTTCTGCTTTGTGCCCCTTTTATTCTTTCAGAATCTTGAATGGAAGGTATTTGCTGGGTAATTTGCCTGAGTACTCTGACTGCCCCCGCCCACCTCATTCATTGCATAATTTTTATGGGCAAACATGCTTTTTGAAAATGCCAGCAGCTTGGCCTCCTCACCCTTTTGTTGTCCAAGGGCCCTAGAATGAAGGGGCAAGGGTGACATGGACAAGCTTTTGAATCCGTATTAACTTGAAGCAGGAAGATATTTTGGAGAAATGCTTATTCCTCTTGGCTCCTTTATTCCTTAGGGGCAGGGCCCCCAGGGAGTGGGGAGGATGGTGAAGAGGCCCCTCCCCTCAGCTGTCACTGGCTGGGGAGGGGGCTTGGAGACCCAGGCGACAGGCATCCATCCTCTGCAGAGCTGGAATCTCCTTTAGAGGGGGCTCCTAAGAAAAATGCCACGCCAGGGGGATCTATTGAGGTTTGCCGCCTGGGGCACGTTCTGGAGGTGAAAACCGGTTTTTCTGAAGACTTGTCAGAGCCAGGCTTTGCTCAGTTTGCCTTCTTAGCCAGGCTGGCTCCCTGAAGGAGTCTGTTCACCTGAGGAAGGGGGCAATGAACAAAAAGGCTTGGGCATCTCCCCCATAACCGAGTGGGACTTCTTTGGACTGAGGCTCCTCCCTTCTCCCCACAACCTTCTCCTTTCCTAAAGCAGAAATGTGGAGTAAAAAAAAAAAAAAAAATCATAGAGGCTTGTAAAGCCAATGAAATCAGTGCTAAATCTATCAAAGCAAATCATAGACTCTGACAGCTGAGAAGTATTATTTGTTTTTTTTCCTCCCAGATTTCTACCAAGCCTGGTGTTTTCAGCACATGTCTTGGGGAGAAGAGACCCATATAAAGGCAATCACAACTGGTAAATGATTAACGTTGGATCTGACATTTTTATGTGTCAAATACTTTTTAGCGCTTTAACCTTTGCAGAATTTACACCCATGCTCTATGAGATGGATCTTGTACAGCGGCAGAAATACTTGCAATCTGCCTTTACTTAAATCTTATTTACATTTATTTTATTACTATATAAATAGGTTTTTAAAAATCTTAATGGAGTTTTTTTACCCCATTCTGGAGGTCCTGCTGGCCCTGTGGGGGCGCTGAGGGCTGCAGGGGTCCTTGCTGATTGCAGACAGAGTTGCAACCACCTGCCTGGAGACCCCAAGGACAGAGGGGGCCTGTGTCATTGCTCAAGCTCCTGTCTCTGTTTTAGCCCAAAGGGGAGGTGACTTAGAAGGCCAGAGAGTTGGCATCCAACAGCATGAATCACAGAGGCAGGTTTTCCAGCAGACAGACGACTTTTAATTTTTATAAGTTACAGAAAACACACATTTCCCTCGCATCAATTTTAGAAAAGAAAAACAAGCGGTTCCCATCTGTGGTGCTTTTTCCAACCTGCCCATCGCCATCCCCTCTGCAGAAGGCTCTGCGTTCCAGATGTCTCCTTCATCTATCATGAATCTCACCGGGTGTTTCTTTTTCTAAGTCAGAGCTACTCTTGCTGCTGCTGCCGCTGCGGTGTCAGCTCCACGCCTCCTGAACTTCACTCCACTGAAATCTGGTTGGGTATGAGACAGACTCCGGTGGAATGAAGGACAAGAGAAACACATGGATTGTCTGGGGGTCTTTTTCTCAGAGGGCAGGCTGCGTGTCAACCCCAGCCTCTGCATGCAGGATTATTGCCTGGCCAAAGACCTTCAGGATCTTTGAATCACAGACTCGGGAGATGGAGAGCACCTGAATACTCACAGCTCTCCCTAGGATCACTTCCTTCCAGGAGGCTGCAGAGAGCCTGCTCACTGAGACCCCCCCGTGTCTACAGCACAGACGGTGCTGAGTGGTGGGGATAGGGCTCCAAAGCCGGGGACTCCTGCTATTTCTCACCCTTGAAGTAGCCATCCCAGACAAGTCCATGTGGAACCCTCTCTGCATTTCCCTAGTTGGGATGCTGTCATCCTCTCCCTTTGTCTGTGTCTCCCTGTGTGTGCCATTACTGAGCTTGGTATGGCTGGTCCTGGTTAGAGAAGGCAGGTGTTCTGAAATTGCTTTAGAAAAACCATCTTCTATGAACTTGCTTACCAAGGTGAAGTAATGCAAGTGTGGGAGTGTTCCTCTCCAGAATGCACTGTTCAAAGAGCATGAACAGCACTTTGCAGGCCCATTTGCCAGTGTCATATCAGGAGGAGGTGGGCAAGGAGCTCTGGGGGGACCAGAACACCCAGGTGGAGCAAGGCCCATTCATGAGGGAGCGGGTGGGCAGAGGAGGGGGAGGCCCCATGGTCTCACTCCTATAGACTTATCTAGGTTGTCTGCTTTCCGGTGACCCTACACCCTTTCTGAAATCTGCCTGGAAATGGCACAACAACATCTTCTTTGGGCAGTGCGGGGATGCGGGTAGGGAAGAGATAACCTGGCCTTTAGAGACTGAGCTAAACAGGGAGGATGGAAACTATCTGAGAGCTTTCTGTCCTCTTAAAAGAAATGCCCATCCAGCCGTTGCTGTGTAGTCGTGGCTCTGGCCTCTTCCTTGCTGTGTTCAGACATGCCTGTGGCTCAGCGTAAGCCCCATAAAAGGCTGTTCTCAGCACCAACATGCAGACTGTGTGAGTTAGGGCAGATCCACCCTGTTGTTTGGAATACTTTCTTCCTGGGGCTTGTTCTGACCCGATGCAGAGAGATAGTAGCTTATAATGTGCCTCCTCCCCCCACATCCAGCTCCCTGGGCATTGGGCCTCTGAAAAAGGCTCTTAAAAAAGGGCTTGGGGGTCCAGCTATTGCTGAGAAAGAGCCTGCTTTCCTTCATCAAGGTGAACACAGGGCATGCTGGGGGCAGGGATCTGGGTTCTGAGAGGAAGAAGGTGGCCCGCCCTCTCCCATTCAGCCTTCTTTATGAATCCTCACAATTCTCAATTGTGAGAGAGAAATGCACCTGCTTGTGAATTATCTAGACTACACAGTCCTCCTGCACTGCCTTTGGCCCATTTCACAGTCAGAGGAAGAGTGATCAGCCTGTTTGGCTCTGATAAATGATGGTTGGAGATCAAGGGAGGAAATAGTTCTGAGATGGAAGGATTCTTTGCTTTCTTTTGGGATTTCAGCCCAACTCAGAGAGCAAAGGGGTCAATTCGTCTCCTTCCAGACCTACCTAACCCGGCTCTTACCCTCCCAACATGTATCGTCCACCAGATTCTTCAAGTCCTCAATCGGAGTGTGTGGAGAGCCTCGCCCTCACGTGGGGTCCTTAGCCTCCAGGGTGGATACTCCAGAGATGACAGTGTCTGTAAAAGCACTTTAACTGTGAAAAGCCATGCAAACAGAGGGAGTGAGGCAGCAGTGATGTTAGACAGCCCAGAAAAGGCAGGCCGTTGCTTTACACCGTCCCCTCATCCTACAGACCTGCAGCTGCTACAAGGAAGAGACAAGCAAGAACCTGTACCTGGAGCCTTGACCCACTCTGGACCCCACCCCTGGAGTTCAAGATTCTTCTGTCCGCCATGCCTTTGCCAACCTGATGCCCCCGTGGCTTTCTCCTCGGCCACTTCAGTGTGGGGTTTGGTCAGAGAAGCAAATCGTGCATGTGTTTGGCTGTAGAGTAAGTTCATCAGTGAATGCCCTTGTGCCCCCTCAACTGCCTTCGGGACTGTATCCCAAATGGCTTCCCAAGAAAACCAGCTTGGATATGAGAACCAAAGAATGGAACCAAGTCCTGAATTTCCTGTGATAGCTGCACCCTCCAGCTCGGGACTGAAAAGCCAGCCAACCCTAGTTGAGTAAATCTCCACGAACTGCAGACACAGCTGAGTCTCCAGACACAACTGCAATCTTGGTACTTAACTACTGAGCAGCCATCTTACCACGCCAGTTCCCATAAGCAGTGAGATTTATTGCCTGGAATCACTGGAAAGTTCCAGGAAAACATGAAGCTGGCTGGGGATTTGGTTAAAAGGCAGCAGGTTCACTATTTTAGCCTTACAGGAAGTGGCTGATCAGCTTCCAGTGAATGTGGCTTTTTCCACAGCTCATCCTCTTCTCTTCCCGCCCAGGGATCCTCTGATATAGCCACTCAGCTTTGGTTTTCCAAAGCCCCCCAAAAACAGAGATTTCAGACTCACCTGTAAGCACGAGCATCTGTGCCTTCAGAGATCAGGCCCCACTTTGTGCTTGATTCAAAATAATAGATTTTTTTCATAAGACAATTAAGAACAAAGAGATAGCTGGAGACTCATGCATATGAGAGGAAGAAAAGGAATTCCAAGTCTTGGAATGTTCTTTCACTCCTAAGGCTTGAGGACAAGGAACAAGAAACGAGAAACACTTACTGCATGAAGTGTCCATTTCA